GGCCTGATTCGATCTCAGCAGTGCCACTTACAGGCGGTGTGACTTTGGACACCACGTCACCCCTGTGAGTTCTGCTCCTCATCTACAGAATGAGGGGGCTGGGCTGAAACCTGTCTAAGAGCCCCCAGCTCCGAGGATCTGATTATGAGTCTCTGGAATAGCCTGGCATGTTGGTTTTTAGTATGATATGCTTAAATGAAGCCATAAAAAAAAAGCATACAGCGTATGAGTAAGAAACTACAAGCAGCCCAATTTAAGCCCAATTTATAAGTTCAAGCTATGCTGAAACCCAGAAAACTAGAGGGAGAATAATTTCCGCTTAGACGAATATAGTTGCAAGTAGATAAACAGTGATCTGATGTTTTAAAATGCCAAAAAGAAGGGCAGTCCATATGCCTAAATCTCAGCCTTACAATGTCAGCCAGGGAGAAGAGCCAACCAGACACACCAATCCTTCTCAACTTTCCCGGTTTGCCGGTACCATCCCCTCTCTGAAACTAGCATTGCAAAATTCATTCTGAGTTCCAAGGTAGGCCTGAAAATGTCCTCAGAAGTATTTTCTCCTCCGTGAATCACGGTTACACCCTTCTACCACCAAAACCTCCGAGCCATGTGACTTCTTCATATTCTTACCTTGTATGGTTAAGTGATTTGACTCCCTATATGGTTTTCCATATAGGGAGTCCAAAGGATTGGGAGCTGGAACTCTTGCCAGTATGGGGGATGAGAGGCGACAGTACTCAACCCGACAGCCCACCTTTGAAAACAGCCCCTTTATGTCCATTTTGTTCACTGTCTCAAATCAGCTCAAATAATGATTTTTATGAATTTTCCTGAAAAAGGAAATCACCAGCCCTGCTACTCCACCTTGCTTACCTGGAGTCACAGTTATCCTGGAAAATGCGTGGAAAAGTAACAGGCAAGTGAGGAGCACAAAGACCTGGATGTGGAGGCGACCGTGTCTGGGCAGAAGCAGTGGTGGCTCACCTGGGCAGCACCGCCATGCCCACTGTGCCAGCCCAGCGCCCCGCCCCGCCCCGCCCCGCCCCGCCTCAGCAGCACTCCGCTCTTACTCAAGCCTTTTGGCAGCTTGTCCACAATTGAAAGAAATGATTCAGGCTGAAGTTGCTGTTGTCTGCACAGCTTCCAAAAGGCCTCCAACATGTTCGGGCAGGAAGGGGCTGTGAGCTATATGCATACGTACAGACATGCGTACAGCAATCCTCTCAGCCCACGCAGGACCGGAAGGTGAAACATTAAATGAAATAAAAGGAATGTGTGATGATAGTAATACTACACATTTCTCAAACACGTTGGTGGCACAAAAAGTACTCTGATCTCCATTCTTTTTGTGTAAACTGCAGCAGCTCATTCTGCTAGATGCCAAAAGAGGTAGCTGCCCATTAAACCAAAAGGCAATTTAAAAAAGAAGAAATGGATATATGTATAAACACAGTGCCTACTTAAAAATTAGGTACTATTAGCAAAATATTTACTACCAAAGTGATAGGAGATATGGTTAATGGGTGGCGCAGGAAGTTTCTTTTTAAAATCCTGTGATTAGGATTACTCAGGCCTGGTGTGGTGGCTCACACCTGTAATCCCAGCATTCTGGGAGGTTGAGGTGAGCAGATCGCTTGAGCCCAGGAGTTTGTGACCAACCTGGGCATCATGGTGAGATCCCATCTATACAAAAAATGCAAAACAATAGCCTAGTGTGGTGGCGCATGCCTGTGGTCCCAGTTACCTGGGAAGCTGAGATGGGAGGATCGCTTGAGCCTGGGAGGGCAAAGCTGCAGTGAGCCGTGAGCTAACCACTGTACTTCAGCCTGGGTAACAGAGCAAAAGAAACAAAATGAAAAAGGAGTATGCAGCTCTGCTCTGAAATCTCTTTGCGGAGCCTGCTTTTGTCCTCCTGTCTTCCCACAGCTCCATTTGGTGGGACCTACTCCCTTCCAGCCGAATCAGTCTCAGGAAAGGACCTGAAACTGATCTGGTTGCTTTTCTGCTCTGCTTATCTAGAATTCCCTGTTGTGCGTTTACTACATTGTTTCATAATAATCTCTTACATTATCCTATATGTGACTACAACAATTTTAAAGGTAAGGGCCAAGCTTCGTTCATTTTTATAACACCAACACTTGGTACAGTCTTGATGTACAGTGTGCAGTCAATAAGTGCTTGTTGACTAATGAATAAGAGCAACTCGCTATACTAACTTACTAAACAAAGATTGATCAACAGCTTCCCCTCCCCCATGTCCTGGGTATTTTAATGTTAACCGGGATCAAAGTCATAAACTAAGTGAACTCCAAAAACAGAATTTTAGGCATCAGTGGAGCAAGTGGAGGGAAGGTCATAGGTGAGGAGGTATGGAAAGATGCTTCTTAAAAATTCTGTTATCCTGCTGTAGGAGGGAAAATGAGAATTTAGGAGCAGAGTCATAAATTTGCAAACTAAATCTAACCACTCATTGCTTGAGAAATCCTGAGCAAATTGCTTAATCTCTTTAGCTTCAGATTCCTCATCTGTAAAATTTGTCTGTATATAGTCCTCATTTGTCGTAAAATCTGTAAAATGAGATACAGACAGAGATGGATGAAGAGACAATTCTTACATAGTTTCTGGCACATAGCATGTGCTTCCTAATGATGGCAATTAATACCACTTTGCCCATTAGTTAGGCAGGCCCGGGGAATAGTGGACAAAAGGCTGGAGCTGTTATTGACATTGAATTCACCACATTTATTGAACACCTGCTTCGTGCTTGCTACTGTGGTCTACAGATTTCAAGGGACTCGCACTTAAATGGTAGAGCTTCTCTATTCTCCTTTTTGATGTTTTAATTCCCTCTAAAACACTCCTGTTCAGTGCTTGCTCAGCCTGGGCAGAAACATTTCCAATGACAGGAATTCAACGACACCCAAGGAAGTCCAAACGAAATGCCTTTGGGTGATTCTAACTGTATGAAAGGTAGAGGCACCATTTGACTGGGGCTATAAGACATGTTCCCTTTCCCCAAAGGGTACAGTAGGATAAGAAACAAAAGAAAATATCTGGAGGCATGTAATAAGGGACATAAGAGAGGTGCAAAGGACAAAAGGAGTTCAGAGATGAGTGTAACCTTTTCAGTCTGGCTATGACTGGGGAAGGACCACGGAGGCAACGTCATTGGACATCGGGAGACCATTTAAGCCTGAGAATGGAGGTCCAGAGCTGGGATGACACAAGGTATATTGGACAGGTATGTTAACAAAAGATTAAACAGAACATTCCCTGTCAAAAGTTTTCACTTGTTGAAGTATCTCTGGAGGTCAGACCCTGTACCCAAATGTTCTCACTCTCTCACTGAACCCAAGTAAGGCAAGGACTCACAAGTCTCAGGTATAACATCATTGACAAAACACATTGTTGATTTAGGCAGAACAGTAGGAAAAAAAAAAAGTGGTTCCCATTCAGTGGTAAGAGTATTAAAAGTGTGATTCTATTTGATTGAGAAGACCCGTTTCCCAGTAATATTCTTTTCCACGGCAGCCATAATTTTAAGTTCTTTAGAATTCTATCTAAAAAGACACTAGAAAACAGAAAAGTGGGAGAAGATGGCATTATACAAGTAGTTCACGTTTTTTAAATTACACAATTTCAAATTAGTTTCTGGAGAACATGCCTGCTGATTAATTTTAGGAAAGAGTGGCCTCAAGAATGTCTTCTGCATTCAACAGGTTTCTACTATGCTTCCCTGTTTTAACTAGACATTTTGATTGGAGTCTGTGATTGACTGAATAAGCATTTATTGAGTTTGTCAGACCCTGGGCAAGACCCAGAATAAGACCTAACTATGGATCTCAAGCCAACTACAGTTTAGCTTTGCATTTCTGTAAGTCAGATACCTACACTAATTGTTATACTGTTAAAAAAAAAAAAAATACATACATCCTGAAGGAAATGCCTGGAAAGAACAAAGTTGTCATGTCAATCATGTTAACATGTGGACTTAGAAGCATCAGACTTATAAGAAAAAAGATTCTACTCATACTAATAACTCAGACAGCAACAATATCAAAATAACAAAGCTATTTTACAGGTGTTATTATCCTGTTACAATCTTCAGTCTCTTGCCTCATGAAAAGCTTTTTATGTGGGCCCATGAATAGTCAACTCTCGAGTATTTTTGATCTCCCTTCTTCCTGATGAAATTTGAACCTATAAGAAGCAGATATAAAGCCAGATTTTAAAGTTTTCTATATGATATGATATACTATGCAATTCACTTATTATGTTTACTGTTGATGGCCTCCTTCAGCTAAAATCTAAGCAGGTTTTTTTGGTCTGTTTTATTCACTGATGTAGTCCAAGAACTTAGAGTAGTATCTGGCACATAATGGGTACCTGGCACATAGTGGGTAGAGAATGAATGAGTGGGAAATAACGCTACTGACAGTAATTCAACTAAGGATGAATTCAGCCCATAAATTTGAAGTCAGTTTGACATTTCCTTAAATACCAGCTACCTTTCCTTCAGTTATCTTTGTATGTACTGAAGACCAGTGCATCTGATTCATCCCAAACACTTTATATTTGTAAAATAAATGATTTTTTTTTTTTTTTGAGACAGAGTCTCACTCTGTCACCCAGGCTGGAGTGCAGTGGCACGATCTCAGCTCACTGCAACCTCCACCTCCCAGGTTCAAGCGATTCTCCTGCCTCAGCCTCCCGAGTAGCTGGGATTACAGGTGCCCGCCATCACGCCCGGTTAATTTTTATATTTTTAGTAGGGACGGAGTTTCACCATGTTGGCCAGGATGGTCTTGATCTCCTGACCTCTTGATCTGCCCACCTCAGCCTCCCAAAGTGCTAGGATTACAGGCATTAGCCACGGTGCCCCTCCAAATAAATGATTTTTTAAAAAATATTTAGGGAAAAAGAATACACCTGTTTGTAGGAAAAAGCATTTGCTCTATAATGTCAAAAATAATCCATAATGTTTTCCCCTCTTTTTATTTGCCACAAAAACCATTTTATTGACTATATATTAAAAAGAGTAGGTTTTTTGAAGGGGAGATACATAGCTCAAAGAATGAATTATTCATTCATTCATTGTACAATTTTATGAAGCAATAACTTCCTCTAGTTCAACACAAGTAATCATTGGACCAAATATTTAATAACCTAGGAGACTGTTTTGTTGGGGCTTTTTCTTACCTATAGGTTGAAGCTCTGCAAATATTGTAACTTGATTACTCAGCATCCAGGCTGAGGGATGATTTGACACACCCAGCCACTCCCAGGAACAAATCAAAAGAGCTTTGTTCTAGCATGTGCCTCTTGCTTTCTCTGTCTCTCTCTCTGTCTCTCTCTCGCTCTCGCTCAATCTCTCTCTCTCTTTTCCTAAGAGAAGTTTCAGCCACAAATTCTGAGCATTCTCCCCAGATTCCTACAAATCATCAAGTGATTTTTTTCTTCACTGATAAAGGTGATTCCCACTAATTCACATGATGCCTCTCGCATACAATAGTGGAATAATATTAGCCTTCCATGTTTCCAGCCATTCACAGTTCACGATCAAGGATCCTAACTAGTCACTGAGGACTATTATGTCCTTTTCACTTGTGGAGAAACTGAGTCAGGGAAGACAAAGTGACTGCTTTAAAGTTTCTGACTGAGATGGAAAAAAAGCTATTTTAAAAGCCCCAGATTTATAATTCTTTACCCTAACTACTCTATTTTGAGGATTTATTTCATACTTTGTGTCTTTTCAACTTCTGGTGTTTGTCTAGAAGAAATTTTATATTAAATGATAAACTGTTACAGAAAACAAGTTATGTGAAATTTTCTAAGAAGTAAACTTAAGAAAAAAAAAAAGACCACAGTGAAAAAAATAGAGTTAAACAGGACCCCAAAGTTAAACCAAAACCAGATAGTAGAAGTGGCACAATTTGCCTCTAAAATGCTTCATTAGCCAGGCGCGGTGGCTC